AAAACAGCTCCCGTTATATCGGGTTTATTTAACTCGAGGCGTGAAGTCCGATTTGCGCAATCGCAAAACCTGGGGAGTCAGACCCCTCGCTGGAAAATGGAAACAACTCCGTGGGCTTAATGTGGCTCGACTTTTTTTTTTTTGCAGCGGCAGTCTTAAATATTACCGCGAGCTCAGGATGTGACAGCAGGTGAAAGGGGATTCAAAGTTCACCTGGGGGGTACTGTACTGACTGCCGCTACCACTCTCCACGAAATAAAATGAAACACGCATACAAAAACGCACCAAAAAACAAAATGAGACATGCTGTGTGGGGGAAATAACGGTTCAGTTGAATATATTTTAAAAATGGTATCAAAATTTGGAATTTGAGATTCGAGGGAGACATCCTGGGTTCTAATTGATCCGACGATCTCACGCAGCCGGGTATCGGCTTCAACAACGTGGCCGGGCTGCTTGTTCCGCCCCTCCACAGTGAGAAGTGCGCTCTCGAGCACCCCGACACGAGCCCGCTATCGCTTGTAAAAACTTTCCCGTGCATCCGCCATCCCGGGCGTAACTAATACAGCGGCAAAGATAGGGCAATTTGTTTCCTGACCCTCGAGTGCAATCCCCAATTACCGAGCGCTCCTCTGGAAAATTGAGTCTGACTTCCCCGCGGTGGGGGTGCAACGCGATGATAAATGCAAAGGCACACAGGCACAGGATGAGCACACACAAAAATGTGTTCAGCCTCCACACAGGGGAGGAGCAGACTGCATGAAGAAGGCCGGTGCTTCTCCTAGCGAGAGGGTGGTCCTGAGCGGGACAGTCGTGCCGGCAGGTGGAAGGAGCATCTTTCATTGCTAAGCAGGAACCCAAAACAAGCCTTAATCAAGAGGCAAGTAGGTCTCCAGTCTGATCGCCCCCTGTATCCTCCCTGGCATCTAAGCCAGGGTGCTCCGAAGAACCGGGATTATGGATTGAGATGGGCACAGTGGTTAGCATTACTGCCTCTTAGCGCTTGGGGACCTGGGTTCAATTCCTGACCTAGGGGTGCTGTCTGTGTGGAGTTTGCATGTTGTCCGTGTTCATGTGGGGTTCCAAAAACATATTGGTCGGTGAATTGGCTTCTGGGAAAATGTTGCCCTGGTGTGCGTCTGTGGGTGCCCAGTTTTGGACTGCCATCCTATCCAGGGTGTACCCCAC